GGGGCAGACTCAGGACCAGACCTGGACGCTGCAGCAAACACCTGACCCGACGCAGCTACCTGACCAGACGCAGTGACTGGAGGAGACTCAGTGGTCAGTGTGTACAGGCTCGACCCCGGCCGACGTGTAAACGTGGCCAGGTGTCGGCTTGTCCGAGCGTCCGTGCAGTGGGTCACCCACTGACTCGCAGGAGTGAACTGGTGAACCCCCGTATCCTGCAGGTCAGCACCACTCACCAAGTTTGTAGAGAACAAGGGGAGGTAAAGACCAGACAAGGTGCCAGAGGGGGCAGCCGGACACGGGAGGACAGTGGAGAAGTGAGAGAGGACAGGACCCCCAGAGGGGTCTGCCAGGGAGACTGCAACTGGCCGACCAAGCGGCGTGAGTGTGGTGCGGTCTCGAAAGAAGGAGCGAGAAGCCCCTGAGTCAAGTGTGAAGGTGAAGGAGGCCGAAGCCGACGTGGTACCTGAGAGCGCAGACTCACCAGCACCTGAGGGCGCGGACGCACTGGCACCTAAAGCAGCAGCCTCACCAGTACCTAGAGCAGCAGTACCAATGCCCGGGTCGGGCGGGAAACACCGCTAACAGTCGCCCTCATCACTAATAGTCACAGCATACATGGCAGCAAGGATAGCATCAAAGTCAAGATCAAAGATAGCTACGCCTTCCCTAGACAGCTCTCCCCAGCGGGGGATCTCACTAGCCTCCGGGAACTGGTGACGCCAAGCGTCCGTCAGGCGGCCAAAGCAGCGCTGGGTGGGGTGAGCACCCCCACACTGCTCACCCGCGCGGTCGCCGGAGCGGAGGACGTAGGTGCACAGGCCAAAACCCCCACCACGCTGACGCTGCGTGTACCACTCACGGAGTTGCTGAGGAGGGGGGATGTCCCGAGAACGCTGCTGCTGCTGCTGCTGCTGGCGCTGACCACTCCCGGTGCCGCTCCGCTGAGAAGTGCCACCCCGACCAGCTCCACCTCCTCCACCACCGCCGCCTCCACCTCCGCCGCCACCGCCGCCTCCGCTCCCACCGCTACCGCCACCGCCGCCTCCGCCTCCGCCGCTGCCACCGCCACCTCCACCCCCGCCACCACTCCCACCGCCACCCCCACTACCCCCGCCGCCCCCACCGCCACCTCCACCACCCCCGCTAGCCCCACCTGCGCCCTTGCCCCCCTTGCCCTTGCCAGAGCGGCATCTCCCGCTAGGGGCAGACGCCGCACCGACCGACTCAAGACCAACGAGGTCGGCCGCAGCAGCAGAGGCGACAGAGGGCAACAGGGGGGAAGGGGAACAACCCTCAAAGATGGGGGTGCGAGGGTCACCACGAGAGGCTCCTACAGCGACTATGCTCTTCTCCGCTGCTAGGAGGGCCTTCTCTAGGAGGTCAACAGTGAGAGTGGTGGGACGGACTGAGAGGAAGTGGTCCCTGACTACGCGAAGGGAGTCTGGGAGGCGAGTGACTATATAATAGAGAGTGATGTACATGGGGGGGGGATTCTTGTCGCAGAACTCAGCAGGAAGTGCGGTGCGGTAGCGAGTGTCACTAGTGCGGAGGTGCGTAACGAGGTCAACGACTGTGGGAAAGGCAGCAAGGTCAGGAAAGAGGTACGGTAGCATAAGGCGGCTCAGTGCAGCAGTGGCAGGGGAAGAGTAGCGCGCAACTACAGCGTCGTACAAGGTGTGAGCACTCTTGTACTGACTAAAGTGCGCGCGCTCAGAGGTAGGCAGGTGGCGACGCACAGCAAGACGTGCAGCAGCATCGCGCGTGGCCCACTGGGAGCGAACAGTGGGGTCAGCATCAGCAGCAGGGGCAGGAGAGGCGCCAGAGGTGAGGTCAAAGAGGGAGAGACCGTCTGCCCTATCGCACTGTAAGAAGAGCTGCAGGTCATCTACCCAAACCTCAAAGTCAATGGCTCGACCCTCAGCGTCAAAAGCGAGAACACTAGGGGAAGCCATGACAGCAGTAGACTAGCGAGACCAACTGTAGGACAAGGGCAGTGCAGTGACATAAGCGCTGGTCTCACCAGACAGGGCAAGTCGGGCAGCTCAGTAGTGCAGTAACACGGCAACACGGCTACTCGGACGGCTCAGTAGCGACTGCGGCTCCGCGGCACCGGCGACTCGGCTGATCAGGCGGCTTGGGCGGCTCGGGCGGCTCGGGCGGCTAGGGCGGCTCGGGCGGCTCGGGCGACTCGGGCGACTCGGGCGGCTCGGGTGGCTCCGGCGGCTCGGGCTGTTGTGGCAGCTCGGGCGGCGCGGGCGGTGTAGGGCGGCAGGGCCACTGGTGAACGGTGGCGGGGCCGCTGAGTAGGGCGGCTGCGCCGCAGGAGTAGGGCGGCGGGGCCGTAGGAGTAGGGCGGCGGGGCCGCAGGAGTAGGGCGGCGGGGCCGCAGGAGTAGGGCGGCGGGGCCGCAGGAGTAGGGCGGCGGGTCCGTAGGAGTAGGGCGGCGGGGCCGCAGGAGTAGGGCGGCGGGGCCGCAGGAGTAGGGCGGCGGGGCCGTAGGAGGAGGGCGGCGGGGCCGCAGGAGTAGGGTGGCGGGGCCGCAGGAGTAGGGCGGCGGGGCCGCGGGAGTAGGGCGGCGGGTCCGCAGGAGTAGGGCGGCAGGGGCTGGTGCAGAAGGGCGGCGAGGCCGCTGAGCAGGGCGGCGGGGCCGCGAGGTAGGGCGACGGGGCCGCGAGGTAGGGCGGCGGGGCCGCTTGGGCGGCGGGGCCGCGAGGTAGGGCGGCGGGGCCGGGAGGTAGGGCGGCGGGGCCGCGAGGTAGGGCGGCGGGGCCGCGAGGTAGGGCGGCGGGGCCGCGAGGTAGGGCGGCGGGGCCGCGAGGTAGGGCGACGGGGCCGCGAGGTAGGGCGGCGGGGCCGCGACGACGGGCGGCGGGACCGAAGCGACGGGCGGCGCGGCCGAGGCGATGTGCAGCGGGGCCGCTAGGGGAAAGGGCCGCTAGGGCGGCTCGACGAAGTGCGACTCGGGCGGAGCGCGCTTCGGGCAGGAAAAAAAAGGTCGATGTGGTGGGCCCTAGGCACAGTTCCCACGGGGGAACCTGCTCGATACCATGAGAAGATGAGAACGAGAATGAATGAACTATGAAACAGTTGGGTACAAGTACTAACCCTAATTGGGTTGTACCCCATATGGGCTACCCCACTACAGCCTACACAAAAGCATAAGCTATAATGTTCTGACAAAGTGTACCTGATGAGCCGGGGTTTCCGCGATATACACGCACTCGTGTCAGAATCCCAACCACTAGACCATTGGGATAAAAGAGCTTCTTAAGTAGCGGGTCAGTGCGCCCATAACTCCCCAGGCCAACGTGCATGTAACCTTTCCCTAGGATCAATCGGGGATCACCGGTGGACCTCTCAAACCCCCCGCACTGGAATGCCCGAAGTGCAAACACCGGGATTCAAACCCGAGACCTTCGTTCTGATACCATGTCAGAATCCCAACCACTAACCACTGGGATAAAAGGGCTTGTTAAGTAGCGGGTCAGTGCGCCCATAACCCCCCAGACCAACATGTCTGTAACCCTTCCCTAGGATCAATCGGGGATCACCAGTGGACCTCTAACAACTCGCGTAGCGGAATGGGCTTCTTGAGGAGGGGGGGTAGTGTAAGGAATTTTCTCGACATTTCTTACCGCAACCTACAACATCGCGTACAGCAGCAGCCGTTGTTCGCCCGTTACAGCCAACGGGGCTTCGCCAACTTCGCGCGCACTGTTTCACCAAAACCATGCACCGCTGGCCTGGCCGTGTTGGCCTACGCTTTGGGACTAGCCCGAGCCTTGATGCCAGCCTAGCAATAGCTAGCACGCATGCACCGCGTTACCGTTTGCACGTTTCGCGTATAAATGTTCGCTCATGCCTTCGCTCACATTTTGTACTCGTTTGACACTCTAGTGCAATCCTCGCTACCTTGATTCATTGCACCCGTAACAGTTGAACTAAACAGAGTGCTTGGAAGACTTAATAAAGAAAAGGTTATTACAGATTGAGGAATATAATATGAACGAGCATTTTTAGGGCTAAAACGTGCTAGGCGAGGACCTAGTGGGAGTATCGCGATTGGTACGGGCGGCTCGGAAATGGTTTGGGGCAAAAGTGTAGGCCGAGCCACATTAACGCAAAGTGCTCCGAACATCTCCGCTCAGGAGAGTCCTACATGAATGAATAGGTATATTCATTACACGTTCGGTTGCTCTAGCAAGGGCGTTTCCCCACCGACGAGATGTACTGTACATATAACACAAGCGGTTACGAATGCCCATAAACATCTTGTACCAGATTTATATTGTTGACATCACACTGTTTGGCTTTCAAGTTTGTTCTTGACAAACACTAAAGTATTACTTTAGCTGAACCGATCAGCATATTTTGTCAAAATTGCATGTCTGTTTGTACCAACCAACAGCCAAAGGTGAGACTTCTTGTGAAAGTTTTGATTGTGACAATTACAAACTACGACTACAATGCAATGAACGACTTTACCGTCATCGCCCGGATATAAGACATATATGTCTTATCTCGTACACGGGCAAAAATGCTTGAGTTATCTTGTAAACGGGATTGTTTAGGGTGTCTTATAAGTCTTATAAATGGAAACATTTTGAAGTTGACTGTAACACTTGCAAAGAGTGTAGAAACCACCCAAGGACCAGATTCATTGAAACAGGCCGACCTCAGTGGAGATGCATGCAGCGCCCACACTTGCCACGTGAGGGAGCTACCACCGTTGGCAACATTCCTCTGTGCTGGCAGCATCTAATGATGCTGCCAGCGTCGTTTTGCTGCCAGCAGCGCAGGGATGCTTCCAAAACGCTGCTGGCAGCACGTTGGCAGCATGAGGGCTGTCCTCTACGAGGAGATGCCTCGTAGAGGAGCGGCTCGGCACCTGTGGATGGGGCACTCTGGCTGGGGGGGGTAGTCGGGCTCTCACTTCATTTCGTGCTCAAGAAGGTTGAATACTCGTCTCAACCTTGCTCTCGGCAGGCTCTCTAACCATGCGCAGCAAAGTACCAGTAGGCAAGTCCTCACCTCGTCCTCACGTGCAGGTGAATAACTACGGGCGAATTAACTCGCCCGGCGATGACATCCGTGTAGCCATGGTGAAGAATGCGAGCAAGGCGGGAAGTCCTACCGCCGCCTCCGGTGCGAGCTGTGACGGGGACGACGGAGACGAAGCGAACGGCGACGACGCCGAGGAGGATTGGTCGGAGAACGGCCACGACGATAGCGCTTCGGGCGACGAGTTAGGTCCTGCCGACATCGAGGAGGACGAATGGTGGAATCGGCCGGTCGGGAGCGACGACGAGGTGGAAGAGTGGCGGGCTGGTGATTCCGACAACGACGGAGGTGAAAATGCGCATGGTGACAATGCGGAGGCAGCGGCGGATGCACAGGAAGCGGCGGTGGATGCGAATGAGGAGGCTGACGACGAGGCGGGGGCGGAACTTGAGACAGTTGCGCCTGCGGATGCGGCCGCAATTGCGGATGCGGATGCTGTGGCGGAGTCGGACAAGGTTGCTGCGGATGCCGTCTTATTTGACGAGGAAGGCGGCAACGACGACCCATGGAGCCTTGGGACCGACGACGACGATCCGCTACTGAAGCGGAGGCTGCGCCATTGCCTACAGTCCAAGTCGAAGCGGGCCCGCGTGGTGCTCTCTGACGACGACGGTCCGGGGGAGGAGCGTCGCCCGATACTCACCGCTGCGGAGAAGGGGAAAGCCAAGGTCGCGGAAGCCCCTGCTAAGGCCCCTGCTCGTCGCCGCACAAGCAACAAGAAGCGGACATCCAATGGAGACCCGGGATCCAGCAAGGGTGCGGCTAAGAAGAAGGCGAAGAAAGGCGCCGAATCCTGACGACATCGTCGTGAACGAGACGCTGGGCAGCGACGATGAGTACGCGGCGGCGGCGGGCCCGATTCCCACGTTCCCTGAGAAGGTCACGCCGAAGGACCCCACCCTCCATAATCCCAACACCCGCCCACCTTCCCCTCGTAGCAAAGACACTACGAAGAAGTGCCGCAGTTGGACCGTGCGTGAGAAGCTTAAGTGGGCGCGCTGCTATCAGGAGCTCGGCTCCTTGAAGAAGACGAGCGTGGAGTCAACCGCGTCCATCGCCTGCATCAGACGCTGGTGTGCGGAGGCGGAAGCGGGCGTCTACAAGGGCGCGGCTAACTGCCGCAAGCGGATGCACGGGGGGGGGGGCGCCACTCACACTACCCCGACATGGAGGCAGCGTTGTACCGCTACATCTGCCTTCAGCGTGCTAACGGGGTGGCCATCTCGGTGAAGGACACCCAGAAGTGGAGTCGCGAGTGGATGAAGAAGCATTACCCCGGCAAGAACTGGAACGCGAGCTCTCACTGGAGCCAGCGTTTCCGTGACCACTGGAACCTGGTGATGCGGCTGAAGTGTCAAAACACTAGGCACTACAAAAGAAGAATGACGAGAGAGGGTTTTCACTAGCAGCATTTGGGATACATATAGCAAACCCTAACTGGGTTGTACTCGCTATAGAGCACCCCACTACAGGCTAGATAATAACATTCTGACACACCCCCATAGCCAAAGTGGGGTGTAATCAGTACAATGAGCAGGCATAGTAATAGTTCACAATTATAAGCAAAGCTAGAGGCGATCACAGAGGGCAAGTGAGGAGGAGGAGGAATTGTGAAGGGAGAGAAGATGGGAGACGACGGCTGAAGCTGCAGACACACGGGCAACAGGAGGACTGGCACAGTGGCTACCGGCGGCAAGTGCTTCGGACTACAGGGAGTAACAGGCCCCGCGGCTACGACGAGCGGCAGGAGCAACGGACCCACGGGCGACCGGCACAGCAAGGCTCTCTGGGCTACCGAGAGCACGACGGCTCCAGACTACAGGCGCTGCGAACGACACAACGGCGGCCTCCTCTCAGCCTCCCCAAACAGTCCCACCTCCTTTCCACACACCCCCTGCTGCACCCCTAGCTCCACTCCCTCGTCACCCCCCAAGCTCCACTCCCCGCGGCTCCCACACCTCCACCCCCCTCAGCAGCAGTGGGAGACAAACAAGGAGGAGGGGAACACCCACACCGCGCACCCCCATGCTTGCAACCCCACACCCCCCACCACCGCGGAACGCACGGCGGCACGGGAGGAATGGGCAGCACGGGGGGGGGGGGGGGGGGGGGGGGGGGGGGGGGGGGGGGGGGGGACGGGACAGGAGGGGCCGCGCGCTCCTACCCAGGGCGCCAAGACGGATAGGCGAAGGGGCGCGCGCGGCTCCCCAGGGCGCCGCGACGGACGGGCGGGGGGCCCCAAGGCCGCGCGGCCTGCAGACCCGCGCGCGACCTGCAGGGCGACGCGACGGGAAGGGCGGGGGCCGCGCGACGGGCAGACGGCGGGCCTGCAGGGCGACGCGACGGGAAGGGCGGGGTGTTGCGCGCGGGTCCCCCACGGCAGAAAACCGCCGCGCGCCTCGGGGCGCACGGCGGGCAGAAACTCGCCGCGCGACTCGAGCGCACGGCGGGATGAAAAACCCTAAAATTTTTCGTCGTGCGGAGCGCGCGGCAGGAAGAATACGGCGCGCGCCCGAGGCGCGCGAGAAGAAGAACAGCAGCGGAAGCAGTTAGGTGGCGGGCCCACCCACAGGATCGACCCAAGGGGGCCGACCTGCTCTGATAGTATGTCAAAACACTAGGCAGTACAAAAGAATGACGAAAGAGGGTTTTCACTAGCAGCAGTTGGGATACATATAGCAAACCCTAACTGGGTTGTACTCGCTATAGAGCACCCCACTACAGGCTAGATAATAACATTCTAACATGGAGACCAAGGTCGGCCAACGTCTGTCGGCAGGTGCGTGTTAAAGGATTTCGTGTCGCGCTATTGAATGCATGTACCTCACCCATTGTCTAACCATCCCGTGCTTCCGTTGCGCGTGTCCCGTTTGCAGAGTGCGCGAAGGACTGCGAGTCCTTCTGGAAGTTCGTGCGCATCAACAGGGCGCGGCACAACATCGACCTGGCCCGCATCATCAACGCGGACCAGACTCCACTATTCGTGGAGATGCCAGCCGAACGGACGATCGAGCACCGTGGCGCGCGCTCGGTCCCAATCCGGACTGCAGGCTACCAGAAGACGCGCTTGACGGTGATGCTCGCGTGCACTGCATCCGGGGAGAAGCTGCGGTCGTGGGTGTGGTTCAAGATGAAGAACGTCCCCAACTGTGAGATTCCGGAAGGTAAGCGTAATGAATTCAACCGTGCGACTGCCTGATGAGCGTGCCCCACTGTGCTGATGCCCGTCTGTCCCTTGTGTGCCTGGCAGGAATCGTGGTCCAAGCACAGGACAACGGGCGGATGGACGAGAGCGCTGTGCAGACCTGGCTGTCCAAGGAGGTGCTGCCCCATCTGAGCCCCCAGCGCGGCCAGAACGCAAGGCGGGCGATGCTGGTGTTGGACTCCTACCGCGGTCACATCACCCAGACCATGCTTCAGTCGTACCGCACGCACAGCATCACCCCTGCAGTCATCCCAGCGGGTTGTAAGAGCCAGATTCAACCCCTGGACGTCTCCATCAACCGGTGCTTCAAGGCTGCTGTGCGAGCGCGCTACACCAGGTGGTTCATGCGTGAAGGGATTCACCTGAAGACGAAGAAGGGTGAGTTGGTCCTTCATTTACGGTTTTATTCCTGTTCTGTTTCTTGTCCTTGTCTTAAACATGCTCCTTCATATCCGTGTCTCTAACATCTCGCTGCCCCGTCCTCTGTCCCACCCGCAGGGAACCTGCGGAGGCCTCCGCACCCCGTGGTGCTGCAGTGGATCGCGGAGGCTTGGGATCAAGTCCCCAAGCAGATCATCATCGACGCGTTCCGCCACTGTGGGATCTCAAGCAAGCTGGACGTAACGGAGAACCACCTGGTGATGTCTCACCTGCGCGCCAGGAGCACCACCGATGTCTCCGCGGACATGTCCCTCGGGGGGACCACAGGCGACAACGTGCGCCGGCTCGGTCGGGCTCCAGAGGAGGAGGAGGAGGAGGCGATGCAGGCGGAGGGCGTGCGGGAGGTGGCCGTGGCAACCGGCCTGGAGGTGCTGTACCAGGAGATCCCCAACCACCGCGGAGCGGCGGCCGAGGCTGACCGCATGATCGAGCCTAGGGAGACGACTAGGCATGCCTGGCAAGTGCCAGACCTGGGTGTAGAGCCTGTAGTTAGTGCAGGTGAGGAGGCGGTGACTGAGGGGGGTTAGGTAGAAGTAGAGATTCATGACTCTATGCATGTACCCCCCTAAAGTAAGGAAGGCTCGTTTAGAAGACACCCGCTGATTATAAGAAAACCCCTAAACCCTGGTTCTGATTATAAGACATATATGTCTTATCTCGTATACACAAATAGGTGTCGTATAAAAAGGCTAGCCTGTTTATAAGAGACACCCGTGTAGTAGACAACCCCTGTCTACTATTCAACACTCTCTTATATCCGGGCGATGACGGTATCAATCTACATCAGCCAATGATTGAACACAGTCCTGGAAAACTAAAATCCCTAAACAGCCCAACTCCAATCCTACTTTTCCTCCGCCTACTTTTTCTGCCTCTTTCTCTTCCGCTTCATTCTCTCACCTTCCACACCTTCCACCAGCCGTGTTGATCCCTTAGCTGGCAGCAACACCTTCTCTCCACTAGCACCACCAGTACCACCAGCACTAGCACCAGCACCAGCAGCACCGCCAAATCTGCTACCACCGGAACCAGTGGCACCAGCAGCACGGCCCCCCGTAGCTGCTGTTGCGGCTGTTGCATTTCCCCCCTGGTTCTTGCTCTCAAACCCCCCTTTCTTCTTGTCTGTGCCAAACCCACCGCCTCGCCTTTCAATGGCAGTATCCCTATCCCTGCCACCACTGCCACCATAACGGCCACCTCCTCTTCCCTCCCCTCCTCTTCCCATCCCTCCTCTTCCCTCCCCTCCTCTTCCCATCCCTCCTCTTCCCTCCCCTCCTCTTCCCATCCCTCCTCTCCCCTCCACTCCTCGCCCCCTCCCTCCTCCCTGTGGTGCTCCCTTCCCAAACGAAGCAACCGCAGGAGAACCAACACCACCCCGTGTAGTGCTAATCCCTCCTCTCTCTCCTCTCTCTCCCCTATCGCCTCTCCCCCCTCTCTCTCCTCTCCCTCCCCTCTCTCCTCTCCCTCCCCTCTCTCCTCTCCCTCCCCTTTCTCCTCTCCCTCCTTTCTCTCCTCTACCTCCCCCGCCTCCCCTCCCATAACCATCTCCCTTTGCACGCCCTCCCATTCCTCCCTTCTCCCTCCCCATTCTAGTCCCACCACCATTACCATCCACCACAGCCCTTTTCCCTTCCTCCTCTCCCCACCCACCCTTCTCACTTTCCCCCAAAGCCCGTCTGCCCATGCCTGTTCCTCCTCCCCATTTATCTCCTCCCCTGTCTCCTCCCCTGTCTCCTCCTCTGCCTCCTCCTTCCATCCCTCCTCTATCTCGTCCTCCTCGCCCTCTTTGCACATTGCTGCCAATAGCAGCATCAGCATCAGCATCAGCAGCAGCATCGCTATCAGCAGTAGCAGCAGCGGTCCCTTCTCCTTGCTCATCCAAAGAGAGGAAGAAATCATCATCATCCCACCCTGATGCACCTGCACCCCCTCCTGCTTCTGCAGCCACATCCCCCTCCTCTTCCTCCTCTTCCTCCACTCCAAAATCTTCCTCATCCTCTTCCCCTTCTCCCCAGTCCTCTCTTTCCTCCTCCCTGCCACCACCGTCACTTCTTGATGCCCCTACTATCCCCTTCATCCTCTTAAAGCTCCTTTCCTTCTCCTCATCCTCAGCTTCCTCCTCTCTTTCCTCCTCTTCCTCCTCTTCACTCCCCGTACTCACTTCCCCCTCCTCTCTCTCCTCCCCCTCCTCTCTCCCTTCCCTCTCCTCCCACCCCTCCCCCTCGTCACTACTCCCGTCTCTTGCACCCTCTCCCTCCTCATCCCACCCATCCAACCCATCACTATCATCACTACCTGCCTCTCTATCATACTTCTCCCACTCCCTCAGCATCGCTTCTTCCTCATCCTCATCCTCATCCTCTTCCTCTTCCTCCCCAAGGCTTCCCACATTACCATCACCACTGCTACTCATGCCGCCACCACCGCCAGTCACATCACCACCACCACCACCACCTCTTCTCTTCCCAAGGCCAAATATACCGTCGCCAAACATTTTCCTCTTCCACATGTCCATTCCGTCGTCCTTGCTCCCCTTTTTCTCCTCCTCCTCCTCCTCCTCCTCCTCCTCCTCCTCCTCCTCCTCCTCCTCCTCCTCCTCCTTCCCCCCTCCCTCCCACACCTCTTCTCCATCCCCTCTCTTCTCTTCCCTCACCCTCATTTCCCCCTCCCTCTCCTTCCCTCCCCCCTCCTCCATTTCCTCCTCCTCGTCATCATCATACACAAAAACTTTCTTCTTATTCAATCCAGAAGGAACCAGCAAGCTCGCCTGCGCTTCTTCCTCCCTCCCCTTTCTCCCCTCCTCCTCCTTCCTCCCCTTCTCCTTCCCAGCCTTCTCACTCCTCTCCCCACCTTTCTTCCCCGCCAACTTCTTCCTGTCCTGCAGCTCTACCTCCGCATCATCCAGCAGAGATGCTGCGAGGGAGGGGAGAGAGGGGGGAGAGAGGGCGAGGGAGCAAGCTTTTGAGTCGACCAACAGAATTGATGTTTATAAAGGGTCATTTCCCTTTCTTCCCCGCCACCTTCTTCCTGTCCTGCAGCTCTACCTCCGCATCATACAGCAGAGATGCTGCCAGGGGGGGAGAGGGGGAAAATTAGGGCGAGGAGGACAGTGGGAAGACAGCAATAATACAAGGGGAAAAACTGTCCTGCAGCTCTACTTCCGCAACATCCAGCAGAGATGCTGCCAGGGGGAGGAGAGTGGGGGGAAAGGGGTTGAAGAGGGGGAGTAGAGGAGGAGGAAAGAGGGAAGAGAGGCGGAGGAGAAGGGAGGGAGAGGGGGAGAAGGCGGGGAGAGGGGGAGGAGAGGGAGGGGAGAGGGGGAGGAGAGGGAGGGGAGAAGGGGGGGAGAGGGCCGGGAGAGGCGAAGGAGAAGGGAAGGAGAGGTTGAGAAGGCGGGGAGAGGGGGAGGAGGAGGGGGGAGAGGGGGGGAAGATGGGGAGGAGATGGGAAGGAGAGGGGAAGGAGAGGGGAAGGAGAGGGGAAGGAGAGGGGAAGGAGAGGGGGAGGAGAGGTATGGGAAGGGGGGATACAGGGCAAGGGAGGTAAATTTTGAGTGGAAGAGACTTGGCTCAGAAAAGCAGGCAGGGGTTTGGGACCGGGGATGTGAGACAGAGAGCACAAGTGAGACACTTAGGATGGGAGGAAGAGGGTTGACGAGGAGAGTGAGAGAGAGGAGGAGAGAATAGATATCAATGCATGAGCAGAATGAGGTGTTTCTGTTCAGCCTCTAAGGTCACCTCGCAAATCAGATCTGGATTCGCGGCAGTTCTCTCAATCAAGCTCCGAAACTCCCTCGCTCTCTCTTTCTTTCCTCCATTCCCTCTAAGGTCACCAGCTCCCTCTAAGTTCACCAGCTCCCTCTAAGGTCACCAGCTCCCTCTCCCTCACCTGGGTTCTCTCAATCAAGCCCCTCGACCCTCTTTCCCCCATCTCCCATCTCCCCCCTTCCCGTCCCCTCTTTCCCTCTTTCTTCCTCCTTCTTTCCCCCCCTTTCCTCCCCAACCCACCAGCACGGCGCCGTTCCTCTCGCCTCTGCCTCTCCTCCCGCTGCACCTCCTCCTCCCTCCGCGCTCTCTCCTCCGTCTCCCGCTTGTTCTGCTGCGCCAGCAGCATCAGCGCCTGAATCTTCCCCCACCGCCGCTTGCCGTCCGCGCTGCTGTTGTGCTCACACCCGTGGTTGACAACCACTGACACGTAGTGCCGCCACAGGGGGAAATACTGCATTGGGGGTGTGCGATGGCAAAGGGAAAGGGGTATGCAGAGTGGTAAAAAGGGCGCTGCTGCTGTGCTCGCACCCGTGTTTCACAACCACTGACACGAAGTGCGGCCACAGGGGGAAGTACTGCGATGGGGTGTTGCATGAAATGGGGGGTTGGGGAGGGGATGGGAGGGAGGCGGGCAAAGGAGTGTGAGGGAGACGAGAGTGGGGGAGTGTGGTTGCATTGCAAGAAGGTGCCGAATGTTGGATTGGAGCTGCTGTGGATGGCTGTGGGTGAACGTGTTTCGCTTGTGGCCTGTAAGTCTGCGCGCTTGTTCTGCTGTGCCAGCAGCATCACCGCCTGACCCAAACCACACACCAGCACCACACACCCAGCACCACACACCCAGCACCACACACCAGCACCACACACCAGCAGCACACACCAGCACCACACACCAGCACCACACACCCAGCACCACACACCAGCACCACACACCCAGCACCACACACCAGCACCACACACCAGCACCACACACCCAGCACCACACACCAGCACCACACACCAGCACCACACACCAGCACCACACACCAGCACCACACACCAGCACCACACACCAGCACCACACACCAGCACCACACACCAGCACCACACACCCAGCACCACACACCAGCACCACACACCAGCACCACACACCCAGCACCACACACCAACACCACACACCCAGCACCACACACCAGCACCACACACCCAGCACCACACACCTGTGAGAACTTAGGCTTAGAAGCGATGCATTAGTAGTGAGCTTGAAGCTCTTTAAGTACATCCAAGAAGGGGAGGGAATGGATGGGGAAGGGAATCGGGGGCAATCCCTAGGGATTGGGGGTAATCCCAAGGCAATCTCCAATTGGTGGGTTGGAGATTGCTTGGAGATTACATTTGGGTTTGGTTGGGATGTAGGTGTACACCCAACCAGACACAATTTGCAAACTACACTACTCTAGGATATAGAAAATACAAAGTACAAAGTGTGAGATTGAAGGCTAACACTAACAACACCAGCACCACACACCAGCACCACACACCAGCACCACACACCCAGCACCACACACCCAGCACCACACACCCAGCACATAGTCCAAGTATCCTCGCCACACGCGAAGCTCCTGCACCACTTCCTCTCGCCCCATGGCTTGACAGTCTTTCTGGGCCACCCTCGCCCACTTTTGAGTCAACTCGAAAGTCAGCCCACCAACTCACCAGTACATGCCCAAGTACCCGCGCCACACGCCCACATGCATCCATTCAGCACCCAAAACCCTCCCTCCTTTCCCCCCATCCCTCTCCCCTCTCCCTGTGTCCTCCTCTCCCACCCACTCACCAGCACATAATCCAAGTACCCGCGCCACACGCGCAGCTCCTTTCAGGGCGGCCCCAAAACCCTCCCTCCCTTTCCCCACTCCCGGTGTCCCCTCCCTCGATATTCAACCCACCCACTCACCAGCACATAATCCAAGTAACCTCGCCACACGCGCAGCTCCTGCACCACCTCCTCGCGCCCCATGGCTTTACAATCACTCAGCACCACGCGCGCCCTCCTCGCCCTCTCGCCCTCATGCGTCCCACGCCCCTCACCCGCCTCCCCTTCCTCCTCCTCGTCATCATCCGTGTCCCCCCCATACTCCCCCTCCCACGCTTCCCCTGCTTGCTTCTTCCCCACTGCCTCAGATTCCTCTCCTCCTTCTCCTCCCTCCCCTCCCTTTACCCCCGCCCCTCCCTCCTCGTCCCCATGCTCCTCGATTTTCTCTCCCTCTTCTGCCACTTCTTCCTCTCCCTCTTCCACTTCCTCTTCCCCCTCTTCCTCCTCCGCCTCCCCACTCTCTCCTTTCGCAACCACCCCGCCCGCCTGCCCTCCTCTGCTCTCCCCCCCTCGCTCAATCTCCTCCAACCGCCTCTCCAGCTGCTTGATGCGCCGCAGGATGCGCACTCGGTCTGGGAATACGGCAGACAGCGGGGGAAGAGAAGGGGGGCCGGGGGAGGGATGGCTTTTGGAGGGATGACTCAAAAGTCCTCCCCAGCTGCGCCGTGGGATGCGCACTCGGTCTGGGAATACACGTGAGCGGGGTGAGTGGGCGATGGGAGGGAAGGGAGAGGAATGGAAGGGAAGGGGAGGGTTTGATTTGAGCTGCGTATGCGCGTATTCTCCCCCAGCCGCCTCTCCAGGTGCTTGATGCGCCGCATGATGCGCACTCGGTCTGGGAATACGGCAGACAGCGGCTTTTTGAGTCGACTCAAAAGTCATCTCCAGCTGCTGAATGCACCGCCGCAGAATGGGCACTCGGTCTGGGAACACCGGGGAAAAGCGGGGGAGGGGGAGGGGGGAGGGGGGGAGGGTACGAGGAAACGGAGGGGAAAGGGCGGCAGGGGGGAGGGGGGAAGGGGAGAATGGCGGAGGGGTGGAGGAGGGGAAGGAAAGGGGGAGGTGAATTTGAGCTGCACGTATGTGAGCATGCCTCTCCAGGTGCTTTGAGACTTCTCAAAACTCATATGTGAGCATGCCTCTCCAGGTGCTTTGAGACTTCTCAAAACTCATATGTGAGCATGCCTCTCCAGGTGCTTTGAGACTTCTCAAAACTCATATGTGAGCATGCCTCTCCAGGTGCTTTGAAACTTCTCAAAACTCATATGTGAGCATGCCTCTCCAGGTGCTTTGAGACTTCTCAAAACTCATATGTGAGCATGCCTTTGCAGCTGCTTGCTGCGCGAGGAGTGAGCATCTGTCGCAGCAGGCAGCTGGAGGAGAGCATTAGGGAGGGTAGGGAGGGAGGAACAGGACAAAACAGTGGAAAAACAGAGAGCAGCACCATAGGATATTTTTAGCAAGTAGGGAAACACGTTACAAATAAATCAAATTCTCGCGAATTTACAAAAGTTTCTGTTAGATGGAGCAAGGATACACGTAGGGGAGGGGGACGTGAGAAGGGGGAGGGGGACGTGAGAAGAGGGGGAGGGGGTGGGGGGGAAGGGGATAGGACGGCGGGGGGGGGGGGGAGGGGGTTGAAGGAGAAGGGGAAAAATGGGGAACGGAAGTGGGAGAAAGGTTTTTAGCTATCACATTGATTCGAACAAGTTTTTGATTGCCAGCTGACTTCTCCTCATGCACGTTTGCTCTCTCCTCTGCACTCGCCCATTCCCCCTACCCCTCATCCCCTCTTTCCCCCTGTCTCCTTCCCCCCTCCACCCGCCATCCCACCCACTTTCACACGCTCCCTCTCTTTCCCCCTTCCCATTCCCCCCGTCCCCCCTCTCCCCCTGCGCACCGTAGAAGCGCCCCATGCGGTACTTCTGCCCCAGCTTGCGCGCCAGCGCGGCCCGATTCTCCGCGCGCACGCGCTCCGCGTCCCGCCGCTGCAGCTCCGCCAGCTTTGCCTCCTGCTGCTGCCGCGCCTCGGGGGGGAGATCCACCTGCAGCGAGAAGGGGGAGGGGGAGGGTGGGGTTGGGGGGTTGGGTGTGTGTGGGTGGGAGAGTGGGTGCGGGTAAAGGGGAACGGGGGGAAAGGAAGGGGAGAAGTAGAAGCGGAACGATCAGTCCCCTATCTCTCGATCCGCATCCGTCATTGCGGTGCTAGTTAAGCGCCTTGCTGCAGCCGCACCACGGACGGGAAACGGACGCGGGTACAGGGTTTAAAGGTACTTGCTGATCGTGCGGATCGCGCGGAGCTAGCTGATGGGTTCGGATTGTCCTAACAGTACCGACGGGTAATGCAGACACTGCGCCTATGAGAAGATCGCGCCCGTCGGTGCCCCTAATCTCGCCTCGACTCGAGCATCTAACTCGAGCATGGCACCTTGCTCAGCAGCCGTTTGATGGATCGAATCTGCGGCTTTAACGACACCTTCTCGCGCCGCACGCGCGCCTCGTCCTCATCCTCCTCATCCTCCTTCTGCTTCTCCGCTTCATCCTCCCCCTCCAATTCATCCAATTCCGCTGCGGCATCCCGCCAGCCACTGCCGCGCCCGCCTTCCCCCCTTCCGCCTGATCGTCCCCTCCCCCGTCCCCTCGGTGTGCCATTGCCCCTCCCTCTGCCGCTGTACCCTTCCCTTCCGCGCCCTCGACCGCTACCTCCGCCTCTTCCGCTACCTCCGCCTCTTCCGCGAACCCCGCCTTTTCCGCCACCTCCCCCTCTTCCGGCCCTTACAGCACCCGCACCGCTCTCGCTGCCGCGCCCGCCCCGCCCGCGCGCAGGGCTCCGCGCAGGGCTTCGCGTGCGATCATTTGTGCCGGCTTTCCGCAGCTGAGACCTGCCCGGAGAATTTCCAGCCGCTCCCCGAGACTTGTGGCGCGGCATGTCGCATATACGTCGGAGGTGATAGAAGGAACTGTTTAGAAAGGTTCGCTCTACGAGCCTTGGTGCTTGATAAAACCTGTCATGATAAAGACTGTCATGATATTATCGGCTCCGCATTCCTGCCTTATTGTTCCAGAACTACCCAGATCGCAGAGAACAAATATGGGGTTGAGAGATTTGAGGTTCCGACATTGTGAATTGAATAAACACTGCGTTCGCCTTAGTGTTTGCATCACACTCAACTGCAAAGCTTCACAGCTAGAATTTGCACTACAGCAGTATCACACAAATTCATGACATTGCTATTTCATGTAACTAGTACAACAAAGATTTGAGTACAGTCAACATATGCTTGCGTGCAACTATGTACTACCATGTGAACTGGAAGCATGCTCTGGTTGTTACGCTGCTGGCTTTTTTACTTGCTCAAGTGTCTGCTGTTTCACACGCTCAAAAGTCCCCACCATCCAGTCCCTTCCAGAAGCAATGTATGGATTCTTCATCACGTGCTGTGCAGCCTGTGAGAGGGACGCCTCTGCCGTTGCTGCAGCCGCTTTCGCCTTACTAGACACATGATATGTGTTATCCACTGAGGAGAACGCGTTGCTGACAGAAGCAGACGCGCCACTCATCCTCTCAGAGATGTTAAACCTCTTGTCAAGGGCAGCAGCAGTAGCTGCAGTCTTCTCTTTCACAGCCGCCATACTAGTCGATGCAGTTTGGCTGATGCCATGACTTTCGTCCAACGCTCTCGCCTTCTCCAGTGCGTCTTTACTCAGCAAATAACCAGAGGCAAGCAGAGACGCAACGACAGATTCAGATTTGTGAGTCGGTTCTGTTGAACTGAGAACTCCAGCCGTAATCACCATTGCCTGCCACACACACAAGACACGACAAGTCAGGATGATCTGTCCTCGCTATTTAAGACGCAAGCTTCTAGTGACATGGTTTTCTTCCGCACCTCTTGGGAGGCAAAATCATGGTAATCCTCGTCCGAAAGGCGTAACACATGGATCGGCTGGTCTCCAACGACAGTTCCCTGGATGTGACGCAACAATTCTTATTAGGACTAAGCAGACCGAGCATGATTGTTCTTTCCTCTACTGGAATATCAATACTCACTGAAAGCAACAGTGAAGCCTCAACTGCGTTTCCATCCGTAAACGTCAAAATTGCACACTTTTTTGTAGGGTATGTCGATGCTTCATCCCTGCAATAATAACGCAGAATAATAAACGGCCAGAAAGTGTCTCGTTCAGGATAGCGTGCACTACCAAAATTCCATGATCAGACTCCTGCGTAACTCACGATTTGAAAACTGCGGAGGAAACGACTCCGGCAAATTTGAAGAAGTCAACAATATCCTGATTAGTGACTTTAGCGGAGATGTTGAAAACCTTAACGGACTTCTGAAGGCAACAAACCCGTGGCTTAGAGTCTGAACATAAATCCAGGGCAGGAATATAAAAAGTAACGAATCCCCACCTCCATCATGACAGCTTTCACTCAGCTTCTGTCGGACCAAGCTCCTTCTATCGCGAAAATCGAAGTCACGCGGTCTGCAACGTAAAAAATGGTGAGCCGAACAAACTGACGGGACACTCGACCCCTGAAAAATGAACTCAGCACAACCAGCTAGCGCCAGCGGGCCGCACCTTTCATTGTAGATGCTCCAAATTCGACTACTTTTCAAGTGCTGTGCGGAACATCGTGGCCCATAGTCAAAAGCAATTCCGTGGAGTCCAAGCGACCGGTGGCTTTCCCTCTAACGCATGAGACACGTCAATCAACCCATCCCGAGAAGCACTTGTCCTCTCGTGTAACTCTTTGAAGCGAGTAACCAAGAAAGCTAGGTTATTATGAAAGAAGAGTGCGCAGTATTCAATAACGCGGAAGTGATTACAATTACTAAGCAAACGACGAGGCCTATGCATAAGAGCGTATTCCTACGGGGCCACCTCGTAACAAGAATGGTCCTCCTGCCTGTAAATTGACAACCCCGCCAAAACCTCGTATCAGGAAAAGTTGCCAGTTAACCCACATGTGCGACTCCAAACAAAAGCTGATGTGGCATATTGCGACCCAGCATGAACAAGCGCCCCGACGAACATAAAAAAAAACGTGCCACGAGAGCATAGGGTGGGAATGGTGTACGAGTCGCTATGCATCTGACAAGGGAGGTGACACGAAAAGTTTGCACACTCTGCACGTTCGCGCGCGGCGCATGACTGCCACCGTGTGCAGTTTCGCATGAATGTTTGTCGGCCGCATTCACAGGGCTGACGTTTTCACGTCAACTGGAACCGTGCGTCGGTAAATTAGCACATTCACTTCTGGGTGTGCGAGCATTCTCATTGGTGCACTGGTTGGGTTTATTCTTGATATAAGGTGTTTTATACCGTAAACATAAGTCAATTCCATTCTTGATACGAGGTGGCCCCGTAGGAATACGCTCTAATATAGCAGAGCTAGCTAGGCCGAGGTCGCGGATTCGCGCGAAGGTTAGGTGCAGGTTTGGGTTTGGGAAACCCGAAGGCGACGCGGGGGACGTTCGGAAGGCGAGGTCGACGGACCGAGTCTGAAGTCCGAAAGTTGGAATTGTACGCGTAAAGGCTGCCTCAGTAAGGAATCAGCAAAATTCCTTACACTACCCCCCCCCCACCCCCCCCTTAAGAAAGGTGGTCAATATCAGGCACGCGTCGGCGGGAAAGATAATCCCGGAGTACCGAGCGGCCTTGCAGTGAATCAGCCGGGACCCATGTGTCATCTTCACTTGTGCGATCCACCCAGCGAAGGAGTAAGTCGACGTGGCGGCCAGCGGGGGTCGCACGAATGCGATGATTCAGAATCTTCCAGGGTTGAAGTGTCGGATCTGCCACAGGTCGGAAACTTGGCGCAATGTTGGGTTGAGCGACGTCGGACGGCTGCGGAGCCATGTAGTGGCGAAGCAGACTGACGTGGAAAGCATCGTGGATCTTCCAGTTGTCCGGTAGGAGAAGTTTCGCCGTGACTGGGGTTAACATCCGAATGATGCGGAATGGTCCCACGTAGCGGGGATGCAATTTTGCAGGCTGGGGCAGTCAGAGATTCTTCGTGTCCAGGAGAACCATCTGCCCGTCACGGAAGGGTAAGCTCCGTCGATGTCGGACGGCGTAGCGGCTGGCGGCAGTATTAGCCTTTCGTATGAATTCCGCTGCCTTGTTGCGTGCTGCTTGAAGTTCCGAAACAAACTGCTGCGACCGTGATACCGGATTGTCAGGAGTCGTTGAAGAGGGTACCATCGGATCTATCCCATAATTGAGGTAAAGCGGCGATTGATTGGTCGTCGCAGACGGGGCGTTGTTGTACGCAAATTCGAGCATGGGAAGCGAATCTTCCCACTTGGAGATATCGGGGCAGTTCGTGCGAATCAACTGCTCCATCGTCTGGTTGGTCCTCTCGGTCTGCCCGTCGGTTTGCAAGTGGTATGACGACGAAAACTGCAGGCGGGTGCCGTACTGTGCCCATGTTTCCTGCCAGAACTTCGACGTAAATTTCGGGTCCCGATCGCTGATGATCGCCGAAGGTAACCCGTGTAGTCGCACGACGGTCGAGATGAAAAGCTTTGCTATTTCTTCGTCTGTGATCGTCATGCGGCATGGTGCGAAATGCGCCATTTTCGTTAAGCGGTCGACGACGACCAACACCGAATCGTTGCCACTTGCGCCAGCTGGCAGTCCGGTAACAAAGTCCATTGTCACATGTTGCCACGGTCGTTCGGGTGGCTCGTCGAAGGCCAGCTGCTCTCTCTCCCCCCACCCTAATTGCACGCCCTTATGCAGAAGATCGGTTAACGGCCTGGTTACCCCCGCGATATTCGGTAAAAAATGGCGGAGGTAGTTAACGAAGCCGAGGAAACTCTGCAACTCCGTGATGTTCGCGGGCGACTTCCACTCTGAAATCGCTTTTACGTTCCGAGGATCAATTTTAATCCCCTCTCCCGAAACCACGTGCCCTAGGAACTCTAGCTCCGACTGTAAGAACTCACACTTAGAGCCCTTAGTAATCAGCCGTTTCTGCTGCAAGTGCTGGAACACCTCCTCTAAGTCCTGTAAATGCTACTCCCACCAGGATGTCGTCTAGGTAAACAATAACTTTTTTGTCCAGCATGTCCCAGAACACCCCATCCATGGTGAGTTGGAAAGTCGAGGGTGCGTTCGTCAACCCGAATGGCATCACAGTATATTCGTAACTGCCGTAACGGGTGCGAAATGCAGTCTTCGGGCAGTCGTCGGCGAACACGCGAATTTGATGGTAGCCACCTTGCAAATCGATTTTCGAGAAGAAGCGAGCCCCGCGAAGCTGATCCAGCAGGTCGTCCGCTCGTGGGATCGGGTAACGCGACTTGATTGTGACCCGATTCAACGCTCGATAGTCGATGCACATGCGCAGGCCTCCGTCCTTCTTCGGCGTGAACAGTATCGGGGCGGCATATGTCAGAATCCCAACCACTAGACCATTGGGATAAAAGGGCTTGTTTACGTAGCGGGTCAGTGCGCCCATAACCCCCCAGGCGAACGCGCCTGTTGACAAAATACTAGCGTGAGTTTGGCTTAGGAGCCATAGTTTAGGAGACTTGGTAGTTGAGTTCGAGTTTAGGAAAAGTATCGAGAGGTTTGAGGAAGGAGAGGAATGAGGTTTCACTAGCAAGAGTTGGGATACAAGTACAACACCCTAAATTGGGTTGTACTCATTACAGAGTACCCCACTGCAGGCTAGACAGCAAATACATTCTGACACACCCCCATAGCCAAAGTGGGGTGTAATCAGCACAATGAGCAAGCATAGAGCAAGAGTTCACAATAGGTAAGTAAGGCTAGAGCTAGTCATAGAGGGCAAGTGAGGAGGAGGAGAGACTGTGGGGGAGAGAAGATGGGAGGCGACTGCTGACGCTGCAGACACACAGACGAGCTGCTGGCTCAGTGGCTACCGGAACAGCGCTCCGGACTACTGGGGTAACTGGCCCCGCGGCTAAAAGTAGCGGCAGACGAGCAACGGACCCACGGGCGACTGGCGACTACCGGAGATTGTAGCCTCCGGTCTGCTGCTGCTGCTGACGACAAGACTTCTGCCTCCACTCAACCTCCCCATCTGCCTAACGCCCTTCTCACCCACCCCCTGCTCAAACCCTAGCCCTACGCCCACAGCACCCCCTTAAACCCTAAACCCCAGACTCCCACACATCCACCATCCTCAACGAGAGCTGCAGCAGTGGGAGACGAAGGAGGAGGAGGAGGAGGGAACAGCACGCACAACCGACACCCCCACAACCATCACCCCCACACCCACCCCCCAACGGCTGCACCGGGTCCAGGAGCGGCTGCTGCAGGGGCCAGGAGCGGCTGCTGCAGCGGCGGTTGCTCCAGGGGCTGCTGGTGCTGGGGCGGCTGCTCGAGGGGCTGCTGCTGGGGCGGCTGCTCCAGAGGCTGCAGCTGCTGGGGCGGCTGCTCCAGGGGCTGCTGCTGCTGGGGCGGTTGCTGCAGTAGCGGCGGCTCCAGGGGCTGCTGCTGCTGGGGCGGCTGCTCCAGGGGCTGCTGCTGCTGGGGCGGCTGCTCCAGGGGCTGCTGCTCCAGGGGCTGCTGCTGCTGGGGCGGCTGCTTCAGGGGCTGGAGCTGCTGGGGCGCCTGCTCCTGGGGCTGCTGCTGCTGGGGCGGCTGCTGCAGTAGTGGCGGCTCCAGGGGCTGCTGTTGCTGGGGCGGCTGCTCCAGGGGCTGCTGCTGTTGGGGCGGCTGCTCCAGGGGCTGCTGCTGCTGGGGCGGCTGCTCCGGGGGCTGCTGCTGCTGGGGCGGCTGCTTCAGGGGCTGCTGCTGCTGGGGCGGCCGCTGCAGTGGCGGCGGCTCCAGGGGTTGCTGCTGCTGGGGCGGCTGCTTCAGGGGCGGCGGCTCCAGGGGCGGCTGCTGCAGCGGAAAGTAGGAGGGAGGGGAGGGGAAGGGCACGGCCGCCATTGTGCCCTGACGAGCGATGTGCTAGGGAGCCGCGCAGGTCCCCAAAAGTGCCTCGACTGGCAACGAGAGAGAACCGCGCGCAGGCCCCTAAGGCGCCGCGACGAGGCAACGGGAGGGGCCGGCTCGCGGGCCCCGAAAGTGCCGCGACAAGGCGACGGGAGGGACCTGCGTGCGGGCCCCCAAAACGCCGAGACAAGGCGACGGTCGGGGCCAGTGCGCGGGCCCCTAAGACGCCGCGACGAGGTAGGAACCCGCCGCGCGCCTCGGGGCGCACGGCGGGCAGAAAACCGCCACGCGCTCGGAGCGCGTGGCGGGAAGAAAAATGGGATGTCGTGCGCCACGGGGCGCGCGACACACAGTAGGGCAGCGGAATCGAGTGGGCCCACAGGCCAGGAACGTTAAGCTCTGATAACATGACAAAATACTAGCGTGAGTTTGGCTTAGGAGCCATAGTTTAGGAGACTTGGTAGTTGAGTTCGAGGTTAGGAAAAGTATCGAGAGGTTTGAGGA